CAGCAGTAATCCTTATTAGAAAAAAATAATGATAGAAAACAAAAAGGAAACTGAAAAGTAATAAAATAGTTTGCCAGCAATGGAAGTGACACTGTACATATACCAAATGTTTCTTTTCAAACTTTTTGAGAAAAAGACTAAACTTCTGGGTTTGTGTGTGAGGTGTTGCCTCCCACCCCAAATCCTTGTCCATATCCCTGTGCTCCAGCTCAGCACTTCTTTATCAGACATGCCTTTTAACTTCTGGCCATGAGTATTTCAGGGTGCAACTTGACACTCAGGAAGGCTGACAAGCCCCAGCACAGACAGTTTTAGGAATAAAAGTCTAATGTGAGCAATACAATTCTTATAATGTATTTCTAAATATTCAAACAGAAATATAAAAATTACTCATTTAGAAACAAGTGCATTATTTTCCAAGCTTTGAGTGATTTCAGTATGTTAGTTATGTAAACAATACTAAATGAAACAGCAAGCCATGTCTGTCTTATTGCTAAACAAAGTCAAGAGGTAATTTATCCTCCAAGGCATGCACTGCATTGCACATGGATCTTGTGTTAAGGTGTAATTAATAATAATCTTACTTGCTACACTTATAGCTATTTTCACCGTCCAGCTGTTCCGGTTTCACAAATTGTTCTAGAGCTCTGGTGACAGATGTAACTGCCTGGATGAGTAAGAAAGTAGAACACTAAGTCACAAGAAATGCAAAATTTCAAGCACTTAAAAGCACTTTACAAGAGAATCTTCCTAATTTATATTTAAGTGGCCTACTGTGAACTAGCAAACACCATGAAGGAGGAGACAGAAACAGAGTTCACTGAGTATTCACCTCCTTCCAAAATAATCCCACTTCAAAATAAATAAACTTTTCAGTGCTAGGCAGTATCTGTGGTATGCCTTGACATGAATAATGAGAACAATCAAACCCATCAGTCTAACAATAGATGTATATCGAAGTAGAATAATTGAGAAGTATGATTATATCATTGTTTGTGTAGCCATAATTATTATTTTTCCAGCTTAAATCCAATCCAAACATGGAGACCATTTCCATGGCTTCCACAGAACAACAAAGTCCAATCCACCACCAAGCTGTTTTGTTTCAACAAGATAAGTTTCTAAACAAAATTACTTTATTTTATGAAGCTCTACAAGCCTTTACACATCTCAGCCCATGCTCACAAACATCTTACCTTTATATCCAAAGTAACATCGAGAAATGGCTCGTATGTATCTGACACTGCTTTGCAGTTCAAGCACTTTACTGGAATCAAAATACAAATGCTTAACATCATGTGAATGAGACTAACTGCATGAATTTAAATTATTAATACACATTACTTTAGTCAAACTACAAACTCTTTTGCTATAGACAGACAAAAAGACACACATCAGTTCGAAAGAGAGTATATATTTTAAAAAAGTACCTCGAGATCTTAGATATCCTCCAAATATTTGATAAATAAGTGTGGTGGCTTGAGAAGATCTGTCTAATCTGGAAATAAATTAGAGTCAGACTTCAGAAGACTAAAACCAAGAGTTAATTCCTCAAACAATTTTTGGTTTTATGAAAACCAATGACATAGATTTTAATTCATGATAGTAAATAAAGTAGTAAGAGGGGCTAGGAAAAAATTAAATTTAATTATTTTATGCTTACTTGGTGCTTCCATTCAAACAAGCTTTCTGTAAAGCATCAACAGTGAAGCATAAGAATTCATGTGCATCCTCTTGACTGCCAAAATGGAAATGTTTTCCTATTCCTAATAAATAAGAAGGTTATAATATATTTATTTCTTATAGAATGAAAGAAAACACACATTTCTAAAATATCTCTTCTTTAAAGTAACAGAATTATTTATATGCATCAAACAGCTCATTGTAAAATTTAAAAACTTAAAGATAAACCTCTATCAAACTACTTACTTTTAAGGCCATTGATAACAGACGTAGGTTTGATGGCATTATTAGAGCAACACAGGACCTGGTTGATGTGACTTTCCATTGTGCACATCATACAGAATCCTTCTACATGACCTAGTGAAAGAAAAAAGCATCCCATTCTAGTCAAATACACATTGCTAAAAGAATTCCACCTCAAAATAATAATAATCTAAGTTGTGGGTGCATAAGATACCAGACTAGAAAGCATACAGAAGCCTTAGGAAAAAACCCCACATTTATGGATATAAAAAGAAGCTCCCCTAGGCTTAAATAAATTCAAGTATAAAAACAAAATTCAAAGAACACAAATTCCAGGCTTTAAAAAATACAAACTTAATTATTTAGAACAAAATCAGCCTAAATTTTCATAGAGTCTCCCCCAAATTTCTATTTGAGTTTATAGTGCTTCCTAGAATGTTTGGGTTCTTTAATGGGTCGACATTGAACATATAATTTATCTCAGCATTAGAGCACTGCAGTATATTGGCTGTGAAGACTAAGAATCTTCAACACCAACATCCTAAATTTTATCACCTTTCTACCAGCAGGAAACCCAAATGCCAAATGTTCATCAAATGCCTCACTTTACAATGTACTTTATTATTCACATGAAGCAAGAAATGATCTTTTCTTTAAGTTTTACCGTGGCACATTAAATTAACAAATTCACTTTATATGCCTCCTATAATTCTGAGCCTCCTGTTAGCAGAATCATAGAACCATTTAGGCTGAAAAAGACCTTTACGCTCTCGTTCAAAATCTGATTCTACAGAAAAAACAGAAAACTAAGAATTTTCTTCACAGAACCCGTTTTTCTTTCACCTTTGGAGCTGTCCAACAGATTTATAGTGTTAGAAAATACTCACATGACTTGGTGTGTTCAAGTGAAAGCATGTAATTGGCAAGAGGAGGCGTGTAGGTCAAGCACTGGAGAGTGGAATTAAGGAAACAAGTGTTGCCGAGGTTCTGCAGTCCAACTCCAACACTCTGTGTTTGTTGCCAATCCATACAGATTTTCTCAGGCGGAAAAAGAATTCTTTGTGGCGGAGCAATCCCATCATTAACAACTGCAAGAAATTTGTATTTTAAGAAGGGTGGTATTGGTTTTGTTTTAAAGAGGGTATTTAAAAAGTAGGATTGTGCAGGAGCAGCCTGAAGAACCATCTCTACTCCAAAACGCAGCAACACATGATGCACAGCTTTAACACTGCCATGTGAATTTGCTGGTCAACACTCTCTTTTGGACAATAGTTTATTCATCTGTTTTAATTCTTCTAATAAAAGACAAACTACTCTGATTTTAGTACTCAATTTCTTTACCTCTATGTCCTTTAATCTCTTAATTATATTACTGGTTTTTTTCCTTATTGTAACTTAAACCACAAATTTACACTTGTGGTTATGCAGTAAGAACACAGACAGACAAACAAGTAAGCAGCACAGAAAGGAACCCCATAGATATCAGATCTCTTTCTGGGCAGTGTTATTATTCAAAGACTTGTGAATAATGGAAGCCATGAATAGACGTGGTAAAATGTATTTTTATCTCCAGAACAGAAGAAACTTAGGTACATCTGTGGATTATATTTGATCCTCATATTTGATTTTACATAAATAAAAAATACTTTACAAATCAATTGTAAATAGATAAACCCAAGTTCTGCAACACCTATCCCTGCAGCTGCCTTAGGGGATGCACAAAATTGAAGTCTGTGGCTGAACTCTTGATTCACTGTAATCTCATTTTATAGCAATGCAACAACTAAAATCTGCTTCTACTTTGGTTTTGCTTTTAACAAAAAGGAGGGAGGACAGAAAACACTTACCTAGATCTCTTTGGGCAAAAGGCTTTGATTTTTGAGATGATCTACAATAAATATGCCCCCCAGGACCTTTGTCCACAGAGACTTTGTTTGGATCTTCTGTAGGAGGTACCCGGCCCAAACTTGCAGTGCGTGACGTCATTTTTTTAGTACGGGGTTTCATAGATTTGTCAGACCGTCTTGAGGAAGATTTTTTAGACTTTGAAGATTTTGGCTTGTTAACTATGGTCATTGTTCATATCTGTAACAAGGCAAAAGTTCTGTTTGACATAAGAACGTCCAAAGTATTGCAGAAAGGAAAGACTAAGAGAAATCCTGTCACTTAGTCTGAAAGAACTTGAAGAACTAAACAGCTCAGAATGATTACAAACAAGAGAGCAAACCCCCAAAACTTAAAAAAAAAAAAAATAAAATTCCACCCAGTGCAGAACTAAATGCACAAAGTAGATTTTTTCCATCAAAACTGTATCAATATTGTTTTTAACTTCTGCTGAGCTAATGACTAGTGGCATTTCTTACACTTTCATAGTATTTTAAACCACTATAGTTACCAAGATCTTTCTGTTAAAAGAAGCTGAGCAGTGGCACAATCAAGTGCCGGCCTGTTGAGATTCAGGAGGAATTGTCTGGCCAACATTTTCCTGCTCCTGGGAACCATACACCCCTGATGACACAGAGCATGGGATACAGCTCTGAGAAATCCTGGGAAAGAAAAGCAAGAAAACACTTGCAAATTTATTTCCACCTGGGTTTCTTGTGCCCTTCCAAGAAGTATTTGTTTGGATACAATTTTGGCAGCATTCCTTGCAGTATTTTGCGCCCATCATTTACAATGCTTACTTATAAACCAAGAAGTTGAATTAAAAAGCATCTTTTTAGTTCTACTTATGTAAAGTTGTTTTGCCAGGGACAAGCAAAAGAGGAATGTAAACTATAAAAAAGAAAATGATGACTGCAAAAGAAAGCAAAACAAATCTTTGGCCCTCAAGAATAAAGGCAATAACTGATACTGAGTCCTTTATAAAATGCTGATTTATGTTTCAAGATGGTACCTCTTTAAATACGTGTAATTTTGTGTGCACAGTAAGCTGCTGAATAATTATATGATCAATTATCAACTCCTATATGTAAGTTTTCGCTACTATCATACTATATAATGTAGGGCTTTGTAAGTTTAGGGAAACCATAAACTTAACTGAGGGTTTAAAGTATAACCTGCTTTGTAATACTAAAATAACTGAGAGAACAAAGCATGAAGCAGTTTCATGGCACAACTTGATTGCTAATGATAAAACTTTGGGCAGGTTAAACAAAGCACAGTAAACCGCAGAACTTCTAGTCCCAAAAAGACAAATTATGTGTGGAATCTTTAATTCGACTTTTTTCCCCTCCAAATTTTCAATTTAAAATCTACTCTGTACACACTTTCCATTTTAAAGATGATTAGAGAAAAAAGAAAAATTAATTCATTTTACTGAAAAATGAGGACATCCTTGTCCATTCCAAAGACTAAGATGACAGTTCTTGGGCTTAGTGCTTTTCAGGTAAGATCCAGACTCCAAATTGCATATACCTGTGACATCTCCTTTTCCTGATGGAAAGGGAAGGGGTTTCAACAACATACTAGGAACTTATTTGCAGGACAAAAACCAGAATCAAGACTGCAGTGAAAAGCAAACAGAAGAATATTATCACAAAAAAAAAGCTTTGGCCTTATACTAACCAATGAGGAGAGCCTCATGTATTTTTCAATTTATTTTTGACAACTGACTAGCACTGATTAGTTTAGTTATTAGTTTAGTTTGCTAATTTAGTTTTGACAACTGATTACCAGATATCAAACACTAGACACCTGCAAATATCAATGGATGCCAAGCGTAACTCAGATCCACCACTTTTTCAAAATCTGTTAATATAGTTAATTTGGATATAACATCTCTTTAGTGTAGTAGCACAAATATTACACAGGTTTTTTTGCTCTCCTACTATTCACTGTAAATACAAGTTCTGTTCCTGTACCACTGCTGAACATAAATTCACATTGCCATGTGTATTGAGTGCTTTCCCTCTCTGCTATTCCCATAATAGACTTCTCCCAGTATGATACTGACAAGCAAAAACAACAAATAGTTGCTTTCCTCCCATTTGGAGTGTTACATCAGCGTTGTTTAGATTCCTTTTTCGCAGTCTCATCACAACACGCATCAGTTAATACTCGGATCTAAATATTTATGTTTGGCCTCCGCTTTGCATACAATAAATCACAGCTCAGGAGGGTTTTATACAAGATCTCGTTCACAGAACCGCGTTCAGCCAGGGAGTATGCGCCTTTATCTCAGTACAAACCAAACACTTCCAGCAGCGAGTGTAAAAAAAACAAGAGGGGCACACGGCAACAGCGAGGCAGAAACAAGCAGCAGGAGGAAACTACTCCGGCAGCAGCCCAGGCAGAGTCACCTCGCTCCATCACCGACCGCACCGCACACGCCGCCGGGAGCGAAAACAACCCGGGGCAGCGCGGAACACAAATACACACCCCGCTTTGGTTTTACTTTCGTTACAAAATGAAAGGCAGCACAGGCGAAAGTAATTAATGAGTTTACCCTTGGCGAGCAGGCGGCGGGGAGCGCTCGGCGCGGGGCAGCTCCGAGCTCCGTGTCCCGGGGCCGTTGGTTGTGGCGGGACCGAGCCCAGCGCCGCGAGCGCCTCGCTCCGGGCGGCCCCGTGCCCCGGACCCCGCTCACAACCCAACGCCCGCCCCGGTACCGCCAGCGCCAAGCCCGCAGCTCCGACCCGCTTTCCCTCGCTCTGCCTTTCCGAGGAGTCCCGCTTCCCGGAAACGTTCTGACACCGGGAGTAAAAGGCCGCTGGCAGGGGCAGGGACGGGCACCGCACGCAACATGTCCGCGCTCAGCGCGGCAAGAGCCCAAACACACACAAAACAAAACCCACCCCGACACGCAGGCGAGGGGCACCGGGAACCGGCCCTGAAGGAGCTCCCGCCTCGCCCTTCTTCCTCTAACCCGCACACCGCCCGGCCCTCAGCCCCGCGGCTCCCCGCCCGTGCCGTGCCGCCTCCGCCGCCCGGCCCCGTGCTGACCTGTCCGGGCCCGCGTCCCATCCCGGCCCGGGGGCAGGACCGCGGCGGCGGCGCCCAACGGGCGAAGCGAGCGCGGAGCCCCCCGGGCACGGGGCGGAGGGGCCACGGGAGCCGCCACCGGCGCGCCGAGCGGGAACAACGCCGGGCCAGGCGGGGCACGGCGCCGATCCCGCCCCGGGACGTGGGGCTAGGGCGTCCCGGCCGCCCTCCCGCCTGCGCTGGGACGCGGGGAAGCCACGCCGAGTCCCCCACGCCGATAGCAGCAGGAGTAGGAGGAAGGAGATGCGGGCGCCGGCGGGACCCCGGCGCGTAACGGAGAGGGCGGGCGCGGAGGCACCGCCGCGCCGGGAGGGGGCCGGTCCCGCCGGCCCAGGGGGTGGCGGCGGCGGCGGGGCTGGGTCCCTCCGCCGCGTGCTGGGGACGGCGCCCCGCCCCGCCCGGGGGTCCCACCCCCTCCGGCTGCCCGCCAGCCAGGAGGGCAGCGGCCGAGCGCCCGGCCCGCGCCCCGGCGCGGTGGGCTGGGCTGGGCTGAGCCGGCTGCTCCCGCCGGTCGCTTTCCCTTCCCTTTCCCGGGCCGGCCCCTCCCCCCGGCCCATTGATTTCCAGGCGGGAGGCGCACGCGGTGCCGCTGGGCTGTGCCGGGGCCGCCGCCGGGCCCGGCGCTGCCCCCCAGCCCCATTACCTGGCTCGGCCCCGCTTGACTCGGCGCTGCCGGGTCCCCCTCGCCGCAGCCCCCGCCTCAGCCCGGCCCGCTCCGCCTACTGTTACAGTCCGTCGGGGAACAATGACGTCCCTCCGCCGGCCTCTTGCATCCGGGGCCCGGCGCCGGCCGGGCAGGCGGGCGGGCGGGGGGGAGGAGAGGAGGCGGCGGCGGCGGCGGGGGGAGCAGCGAGCGCCTCCGGGTCACACGGGGACCGGCACCGCCCCTGTGCCGCGGCCGGGAGCCGCTAGAGGGGGCTCGGCGACCCCCGGTCCGGGCGCGGGGCTCACGCGGGCTGCGGGCGGTGCCGGTCCCCGTGCGCAGGGGAGGGGACGCCCCGCTCCCCGCCGCAGACCTTCGGTACGAACTCCTGCCTGCCCGTCCCCGCCTCTCGGGCCGAAGGTTCCCCTCTCGGGTTTATCCCTCCAGTTCATGTTTTATCACTCCGCGCTCAAACGAGCGGCCATAAAAGCTGGCCCGGCCCCCGGAGCCGCCCACGGGGGGCCGGGCGGGCCCCGCTGCCCGTGGCGGAGGGGACCCGGGCGCTCGGCACATGACGGGCGGGAGGGCTGCGGCCCTGCGGGCGCCGGTGCCCGCCATCGAGTTCCCTGAGGAGAGCCCGGAGCCGCGCTTTGACGGTAAGCGGGGCCGGGGGCAGCTCTGCGGGCGAGCGGGAAAATCGCCCCTTTCCTCCGGCTGGCGGGGAGGGAAGGAAGGTGGAATCTCCGCCTTCCTCTTCCCGTCCTTCCCCACCGCTCGGAGGTAGCGGCGGCCGCGGGGGTGATGCAAGAGCGGGCAGGCCCTCAGCAGCGCCCTGCCCTGGGGCCGCCGTGCGAGCTCCCCCTGCCTCGGGCACGGGGCGCCTCGGCCTCCCCGGGCGGCTGCTTTCTGTGTGTACTTAAAAAAATTAATGAGGTTCCTAATTCGCCTCTTAAGCCACTCGCTCAGCGGCCGCTCGGGTGCTGCCTCTGTGAGCCGGGGTTGTGTTGAAGCTCTGTGGCTGTGCATTGTTTTGATGTTTAGGTAAATAGGTGTGTACTGAGACCTAGGTTCATTCGTCTGACTGTTCTCTTTCAGACTCAGATGTGCCGGCGGAGCTGCGAGTTGCAAACAGGTCTCAAAAATTTATGAAATTCACTTCGACCATCCAGAACCAGCTGCTGCTTGTGTCACTGCTGGAGCATCTCTGCCACATGTACACACACAACCCCGTTCACTCCAGGGGTTTGTTCCGAAGTTAGTAAGAGGAGCTCATTCCTGTCTATCAAGCTGCCTTACTGCAATATGTACCAGACCCTTCTGTGCAGAGTTACAGTGTAATATCAATACAAAGCTGTAGGTTTCATTCCGCTGGGACAAGAATGATTCTGTGAAGAGGATGAATATCTTGAATCAACTAAATTGGCAATGACAGCTTGTCTTATTTTTGAAAACAGTAACAGAATGTTGCTGTAGATGTAAGGATCAGACAATTCTGTTCCAGCTAGATCGTGTGAGTTGCATCATGAGAAGGGCAGTAGGGTAAATTATGTTACTGTTAAATGTGATCTAAAAATGCTGGCAGAAGAAGAATTTAATAAACTACTTATCAAGAAATAATTGCAGTAGCATCTTCACTTAATATTTCAAAATTATATTCTGTGACAATCTGAGTAAATACCTTTTCAAGTTCTTTATATTGCCATGAAGTCTTGATACCGTTCAGGGAATTAACATTTTTAAATGTTAAGTATTACTTTTAAAAGATCTTCTTGGTATATGACTTATCATGGGTGTTTTGTTCATTTAGGCGTATACTTAGTGCATTTAAGAAAGCATATCCAAGGGTTTTGTCCTTACTTTACACGACTGTAGACAATAAAATCTAATGTGTTTTTCACAGTTAAATTTTATGCCATTTATAACATCACAGTTGCACCCATCTCCAGCATTTATGAGGTTTGGTTTGCCACAGTTGTTTTATTCCATATGAGAGAGATTAGATGGTGGAAGGGAGCAACTTCATTCTCTGAGTATGTGCACAAGTGTGTGGGTTTGGATGGGAATTAGAAAATCTTGACATTACCACTTTTGATTATAAATGCATCCTCATAATTTTGAACCTGCTTTGAATTTTTCTCTTCACTGAACAAAATTAGTCCAAAAGTAAAATGTAAGTGAATGGGTGGATGTTTGGAAGGCCTGGCAAGTAATTGGATTATGTGAAGGGATTCCCATAGAGCAGCTCTATAGGAATAGAATTAGTTTTAATTGCTGAGAGTACGGATGGGAACAGCATTAGAGTAGGAGGGATTGTTCAATTTTTCAGACATCTTTCAAATAAGATTTGTTGTTTAAAAAATTTATGTGGTCTTATTGGCTGGCTTTATTTAATGTTTTTCCGACCTTTCTCTGTTCCTTTGTGCAGTTCTTCGTCAGACTTTCACAAGAACAGGGTTACTCTCCCCTTTTGTTTTTTGTGATGAATTTAGTACTTTAAGACTGCAGCACAATAGAGCCATTACTGAATTGATGAAAGCAGCTAATCAACAACTACTTAACGGGGTAAGCTTTGTTACATGTCTTTGGCAAGTCTGCAGTAAGGACCTTTTGTTTAGAGGTTCTTTTAATATGGGATTGGGTGTTTTTAATAATAATACAAAAAAGCTCCTTAGCTGTTTGGGATGGCATGCTCGGGTTCTATAGGTGCAAACCAGTTTTTGAAGCCATCAGTATTTTGTACCTTATTAAATAGTAATAATAAAACAAGTTAAAATGTTCATAAACCAAGGCAAGGCGTTTTAGGTATTGCTACAGCTTTTTTTTGACAGACATCCATTTTCAACTTTAAATTGTTGGTTATGCTAACACTCTCATATTTATGTTCGTGAAGGGTGTAGTTTGTGTACTTGTACTTCAGGCTGAATCAGACCTGTTTGCTTATCTCGCTGCTTGAACTAAGCTAGTTAATTTTCTTTTAAGCACATTTTAGAGCCCTCATTTTATCCTGTGTGCCAGCAGAACTCTAAAAGGGCAGTAATCTCTCCAGCAGAGAGATGTTAACAGATTACCAGTGGGATAATAATACTTTAAATTGGTGAAGCTCTCTGCAGCACGTGAATGGCTGTTAGTAACCTCATTTTCTTCCAAGAAGGAGGTTGCAGCTTCTGTTTTGATGAATCTGTCTGTGCCACTGCCACAGCAGACATGTTAGTCTTTTTATATGGCATGTTTTTATGTTGGATTTTGTTCTTTCTTAGGAACTTGATAACGGAGAGTCTCTTGCAATTGGGTATGTATTCAAAACATGTAGAAATACTAAATTAACTCTTTCCCTAAAGTTCTGTGCTCCACTCTAATTAATTCTGTATTTCATATTTTGTCTCTGAAACAAAGGAAAAAAGGTAAAGGTTTCTCCAAATTCTCAAAATGATGTGATAATTTGTTCTTCAGTACAACTCTAGCAGTCAGTGCCACTGTTCAAGATTTATCAGGCATCAGTGTAAAAGAAATAATCTGAACACCTCTGTTAAAACAGAGTATGGATTTGTAGCACGTGTGCATGCTCTCGCAGTCTGCTGGTTTTCAGTATTCACTGAAACTCAGGCTGGTGCAGTCTGGTAATGTCAAAGTATTTTCTTCTTTTCATAATGTGAATAATATTTTTAGAATGTGTACAGCTGTATCTTACTTGTAAGTTGTAATTTAGTTTAATGCAGCCTAACTTTTCTTGATTAGGGAAAAAGAAGTTCTCTTTGAAGCACAGACTTCACGATACTTGAATGAATTTGAAGAGATTGCAAGGTTAGGAAGAGGAGGATATGGCAAAGTATACA